CACTCAGCCGGTGAGCGACCGCAGCAGCTCGACGTGTTGGGATCTGCCCTTCTGCCGCCTCCCCTGTTGAAAGGGCTTCCTGTGCTGTTACGCTCTGTTTAATCAGCACTCACGTTGAGTTGTGAATCTCTCCCTGGCTCCGGGTCCGTGATAGGAGCGTCCATCTTTGGTGCTTTTGCCAAGGCCCATGGGTTAAAGTGTGTCCCAAAAGCAGAGAGAGGGGAAGGAGCAGAGCAGTGCTGTGTGCGAGCCATCCATCCACAATACCGAACTGATGTTGCAAAAGCAGTCAAAGGCTTCGTGCAGAGGCCTGGGCGCACGTACGGGCGGTTTTGGCCAAAGAACAGGACAGGCTAAGTGCTGCAGACATCTTACCTCAAACGCCTGGCCCCAGGACTGGCACATAGAGAAGCCCAGCACTCTTTCTTCCTTGCTTGTGTGAGTCTCCTTCAAAGGCACGGGTCAAACACCAAGCACTTGAACAAAGTCCACCCTGTCTGAGAGGGGGAGGGAAGGGGAAAGGCAGCAGGGGGTAACCCAGCAGGGATGGCAGGATCTGATCAGCCGCTGGGTCCGGGGGCAGCTGGGGAGGTAACACAGGTTGGCACCCGAAGGCTTTCCCTGAGTTTTCAAGGAGGCCTGTCAGCAGGTCCACACCTTACACCACCAGCCCCCGGTTAAAGGAGGGTAGAGGAGAGCAGCTATCCCCCTCCAGACCTCTCTGCTAAAGGAGACCTTGCAGAACAGCTCCCCCATGCCTTGTTTTTCTTGCAACCCTGTTGTGCAGAGCCAAGGTGGTGCAAGAGGGGAGGCAGGCATGAAAGGGCTCAGGTTTGCCTCCGGGCCTCTTTGCAATCACCCAGCAATTCTCTCCTCTCGCCGCCAGCCACCCCCGAGCGTGTTCGAACCACAGGCTTTTTTTAGAAACACGGTGCTGCAGCGCCTGGTGCTAAGCAGCAGGTAGATAAAGCTCCCGGGTGCTGGGAACAAACTCTTGTGAGGATAGGTAATGCATTGGGGCTGTGCTATCTGCCCCCTCCCCCGGAGGAAGAGGCTGGGATGGAGGAATGAGGAACGCGGATGATGTGAGGCATGTTCCTGGCTGCTGGGGGTCCTGCACGGGGAGCCAGCACCAGTGGGTGCTGGCAGAAACCTAGACTACCCTACTGCAGGCATGCAGGCAGAGGCCAGGTTGAAAAATCATGCCTAGAGAGGGAAAGGTGAAGCTTACAGCCACTAACACCATTTCACTCTATCTTTTTTCCTATGTTTGTTACTCCTTGGGCTGAAACAGGCGAGCACGGTGTATGCAGACACCCTGAAAGCAACCTCCACCTGATTTTGGAGGTGAGCAAGCAGAGCTTATTTTCTATCTTGCAGCCCTTCCTGCTCCCAGGGACCTGGAGCGAGGCTCAGCTCTGCAGAGCCCTCTGTGCTTTCACATCACCTCTCAAACCCGCTTCCCGAGCATGCAGGTTTTGGTGCACATTTTAGGGGTTTGCATGAGGACTGGAGCCAGAGGGGTGAGTGGGCAGAGCCCACAGGATGGGAGCTGGTTCACACCATTGCCTTGGCTTGCTCCAGGGCATAAGCTGAAGTCAACGGAGGTAAACTGGTGGAAAGTGGTGTGGGGAACAGGTTTCCTCCCAGACTTGGGGCAGCTGAGTTCAACCTGCCAACTCAACTAGGGAAAAGAACTCCAGTGATACCAGGCGTGCATTTATGGTAGGGATGGTAGGGTCTGGGGGTTTTTTTTTTCTTTTGGTAGAGGTTTGTGGGATTGTTTTCGTACGTAAGTAACGACTAAACTTGATATTGCTGTTGGGTTGTTCTGTATGTTTGGGGGGGGGGTTTGTTTGTTGGTTTTTTTTTAAAGAAAGTGGCTAAGATTTGAAAGAAGCAAAGAAACACCTGTAAACTTGCAGGCAGCAGCCCAGCTGGGATTTCAGCAAGTCAGAGACCAGCGCACAGCCAAACAGGAAAGCCACCCACAGGAGACCTTCACAAAACAGTAATTCATAACTACTGCCTTAGTGCTAAGTTAGGACTCCCATTTACCCCTCCTGCCCCTGTTTCACAGGGACAAATACCCACTCCAAGACAGGCAGCATGTCATGCAATCCCTTAGTTGTTTGGGTTTTTTGGTGGTTGTTTTTTTTTTTTTCCCCCCAGTGCTAGCTGTGTGCCTTCTATGCAATGCATAGCTAGTGCCTGTTATTGTGAAAGACTCATGGAAAATAAAGACTCATGAGTGTGGCCTCATGTTTAATTAGAAGCTAATGTGCTATTATTATTAGGCACTGAAGGAATTTACTGGCAAAGCAGTGCTTGAGCTGTTTTTAAAGCATTTTATAAGTGTACTTTCCCCTTACCTAGCTGGTATGCACGACCTTTATTAGGAGGCACAAGGCTGCTGTTACCTGTCTTACAGCTCTTTTGCAGTTCAGGCAAATACTGCTGGAATTACAGTATCTCAAATCTCACTGTTCGGAGGACTTTGAAATAGAAGGGTACGGTGTGTGCTAGGCTAGGCCAAGTGTTTAATCACAGTGGCACAGGACTTGAGAGACTAAGTGGTCTGTGGTTGAATTTGCTATGAAGAGAGACTGATTAAGCACAACTTAACATGACAACCTTATTGGTCTCAAAAGAAGTTGAAGGAAGCAGTAAGAAAATTAGTTTTGTTTGTTTAATGAGAAGATTCACTGTCAGCACCTTTAGGAAGCTTGCTAGGTCTGCCACGCTCCACTAAGAGGTATATTGCTTTGTAACCTCCATATGTTGGCATGAGCATGGCTTCACCATCTGTTTTTTTAATACAGTTCGTTAGGCAGTCAGTGAACTGTCCTGAAATTCAAGAAATTGAACCAGGGGAGCTGCACACAGGTAGACAGAGGTACCTCCTTGGAGCCAGGAACAGTATCAAACAGCAGCAGGCTCCCTGCCCCCTCTGCAAGTACCCATCCCCCTCTGGTTATTACCCTCAGCCGTTACCCTCGCCACTGGCAGGTTTTTAGTGAAGTATTGACTTTCATGGGGCTAGATTCACACAGGAACTCTTTGACTCCTAAAATCAGCTTCTGAGGTAGCACTGGCATTAATATCACTGCTGTTCATATCACTCCCATCAGGTATGTGCAAAAAATGTCTCGAGCAGGAGCAGCTTTCCTGTCAGGGGAGGTGGAGCAATGCATGACACTGCTGCTTGCTCTGTGGCGTGCGTGGTGGGAGCACACCACGAAGGAGAGGTGAGGTCCCTGTCTGGGCAGCAGCCCACGGGTCAACAGGGAAGATGCAAAAGAATTTGACTTGGCTTCAAGGTGGGGAAGAAAACTAAACTCCCTGAACAGCTACAGCATAAGAGGGAAGCATCAACATGTTACACACATAAAGGCTAGGTTATGTGGGGTTTTACTCTGTAAATTTATTCTGTAAATAATAACTCCAATTCATTCAAAGCTCCTTACCTTCCACATAAAAGCTAAGGGGAACATAAAACTGAAGACAGTCTTACATATGTCAACAGTTTGGGCTTCAACATCATTAAACACATTACAGTTGTGTGCTGCTGCTGGTTAAGGGGTTTTCACTTGTTTTAACAACTACAAAATACAGGCAGATATGGAACACAATCTTTTATTAATAACAGATCACATTTGAACTTTGAAAAGAGTGAAATTAAAAGGTGTATTAAAACATACCCACTCTAAGCAATCTATTTTCTTCAGTAGAAAAAAGCGTACAACAGCTAGAAATACTATATACACAGTATATCAGTCTAGTAGTCATCAGCCCCTCCAAACATTGTTTCACAAATTGGTATAATGGTGTTAGAATATACCATCCAGTTACAGTCCAGTATGAATTTTAGCTTTTGACTTTTTCATTTAAGACAAACCACTAAGCACCTAGTTCAGCTTACTGATCTTAGAATACATACAAACACTGTATACGAAGATACCAGTGTTAAGCTTTTACTTCTGCTTATGTATTTTCTGGGATCCTGCCTTGTTAATAAGTCTGCCTCATCGATTGTGAGTACGTGGAAATCTGTAATCAATGTCTCCATTAAACAGAGTACCTTCTGACACTGAAACATGATTAACTATATCTTAAATAGCCCCTTCCTCATCTCTTGCATTAATTTCAAGCAGATTTGTGTTGTTTATTTTATGCTGGAGGCTTTCAGCCTAAAATACAGATCACTGCAATAAACCAGGAATCTGTGCTTTTTTTTATTATTATTTTGAGGAAAATAAAAAAAGCAGAATGTTAGTTCTTAAATTAGTTTGGCACATTAAAAAAAAAAAAAAGCAGGGGGGAGAAACCCACAAATGGCATCCTCTCACAACATCCTCGGGAGGGGAATGTCAATATACAGACAGGGCAGCCACACGCAGAATGACTGACACAGACCACAGCACAGCAGACTCCAGCTGTTAGCCTTACATTTGGCCTTAGTCTGCGTGCACTCTCACTCGCACACTCAAACACAAGTAGCTTCTGCTGGTTGCACCTGAGTCCATCAGCTGACGCCGCTGATGAGCGGGTCACTGCACAACTGGAGAAGGCCCTCGTGAGTCAAGCTCCAGCAGCCTTCTTGCACCAGGTAGAAAGGTAGTGAGTTCTGTACCTTTTGCTTAAGTCTCACTTAACAACACAGTAACCGAGCTATTGCTGCTCTGCTGAGCAAGCTGTACCAGGGTCTGACACGTGGGTCTCTGCACGTCAGCATGCGCCCCATGGTTCAGAAGAACCTCAACTGTTTTTGTGTGCCCTCCTCGTGCAGCCAGATGAAGAGCTGTCAACCCTTCACTGTCAGAAATGTTGATATTTTCTGAACTGACAAGTTCTTCTACTACTTCAGAGTGCCCGTTTTCTGCAGCAAGATGTAATGCTGTCCTATTTAAAGGGCCTCTGGCTAGAACACTGGCCCTTTCATCTATCAGCAACTTTGTTGTTGCTAAATGGCCGCTGCGGGATGCCAAGTGCAGAGCCGTGAATCCTTCTGCTGTTGCTGCCTCAATGTCTGCACCATGTTTAAGGAGCAGCCTTGATGTGCTTGTGTGGCCTGTTTCGGCAGCTATGTGGAGAGCAGTCTGCAAGAGTGCGTTCTGTATGTTGACATCAGACTCCAGGTCTATGAGAAGGCGAGCGACACGGTAGTGTCCCCGTTGAGCGGCCAAGTGTAGCGAGGTCCTTCCATCCACGGTCTGCACATTGACGTTTGCACCCTGCTGTTTGGCCAGAAGTTTTACGATGGGGAGATGACCTTGCCAGGCAGCATAGTGCAGAGGCACCCAGTCATCCTTTCCTTTGATGTTCACATTAACGCCTCTTCTCAGCAGGATCCGCACAATATTCTCTTGGCCATACTGACAGGCTATGTGGATGGGGGCTCTGCCTTCAAAATCTACCTCATTTAAGGATGCATTCTTATCAAGCAGCATTTTGGTGCTGAAATCATCCCCGTTTTGGGCAGCAAAGTGAAGAGCAGTCCACTGATCCTCATCTTTGGCATTAACGTTGATTTTCCTAGCCATAATCAGCTCCACAATGCTTTTAACTTTCTTCTCAATGGCTATGTGAAGAGGAGTGGATCCTTTCTTGTTGGTGAGGTTGGGGTTAGCATTGTACAGGAGGAGCCATTTGACACATTCTTCTTGACCAGATTCAACAGCCAAGTGCAAAAGACTGGAGTTCCCATCTAAAACAATATCAACATCTTGAGGCTGGAGGATCTTCATCAGCTTGCTGGTATCTCCGGATAAAATGGCCTCTGTGAGCTTCCTCTTCTGTATGTCTGTAGTACCAATGTCTAGATGGAAAAAGACACCATCACAATTTTGACACCTGTTAAACCTCACTTGCCCATGACTACCATATCTGGTGGCTTCAGCAATGACTTGACTGGGAAGAAATCCCTCCTCACCCCCCTGCAGTAGTTTCAGAACAATTTCAGGTCAGATTTGGAGCTCCAATTGCTCTTATTGTGTTTCTTGTGAAATGAAGAACAAAGGATGCTGTGGTTGATCTCTCTGCACTAATCATTGTTCACTTAACTGGAAAATAGATGCCCGTTTTTTTGCAGCCCTGGACTGAAAATGGAGGGGGATGTGCACAACGGGGGGGTCTTTATTACACTGTTCGTGAGAGTTGCTGAGAAAATGGCTTGAGTCTTAAATAAATAATTAAAAAAAAGGGTGCTCAGACTTGGGCTTAGGGTAACTGAAAAAGCCACAAACTCAGCTAACCTGACTGGGCATTGGCTTTAGTCCCGCTTTGAGCAGGACGCTGGAGTAGGTCCTTTACATGACTGATTCTGTGATTGCTACAATGGGAATTCAGGTCACTTCTTTTCAAAAGTAAATGAGATTTATTATTTCTCATTAGATCATGTTTGGGAACCACCTCGTTTATTCTATTTTTTTTTTAAATAACTACCTCCAGTAAACAAATTTGTAGTGCTGACAGCAAGAGAAAGCGAGGCTGACAGTGATTTCCATAATGCTATTCTTTATATGTCTACTCTCCAACCCACTGACTCCCATACCCCAGGTCCAAACAACTACACACAAAAAAAACCCCCAAACCCCAAACCAATAACAAAGAAAAACCTGACCATTACCTGAACTCTCCCTTTCAAAGGAAAGGGAAAGGGAGCCTCTGGATGAAAAAGCTGAATCTACAGATGAAACTCCTGAAAGCCGCTTGTCACTGGAGGCAAGTTTGGACTCAGAAGAGCTGCGGCTGAGATCCTCAGGGCCTTCCATAGTCTGTGAAATCCCCGAATCCAGCTGGGACAACAACTCTGAGAGACTGTAATCCTTAACTGATGGTAGAGCAGGCTCCTGTTTCGGCTGGGGTAATGCAGACATCCCCTTCAAGAGAAGCACACAAGCATTTTAGAAAGGTCAGTAAAGAAAACCAAGCATGAGGCCTCACAGGAAGAAGTAGCATTATGTTGGTTTGCAGGTAGTCTTTAAGCACTGTTCTTATTATATGAAACCTATGAATAAGGTCACTGAAAATTTTCGGATGCAGGGGAGCACCTTTCATCAGTATTCACACAGCCACTCAAGCCGCACAGCTCTTCTGTCTACAGCGTTTTTTAAGATCAGTCACACCCACATAGTTCTAGCCTTTATTTCCTAACTGTCCTGCTCTCCCTCAACAGTCTAAGATCACTTGCACACAGTCCTGCGCCGAGGTTTTCCTGAGTTGGTGCATGCATCTGCTGTCACTTTTGCATTCCAGTCCTTCACCAAGACCCACTTCTACCAGGCAGGAAGGTGCTCAAAAGCAGCAAAGAGAAGGTCGCTTGGGAAGTTACAGGTCACAGAGGAACCTGTTCCTTGCAAAACCTAGTGCGCTTGGACAAGAGGTGGAAAGAGAAAATACCTCAGACTGCCGTTCTGGGGAACTCTTGGTGTCCAGGTCCTGAGTTGTCATTTCTTTCGTTTCATCATCTGGTTTTTCACAAAGGGCTTCTGTTTCTGAAGTGATTTCTTTGAAGAAAGCAAGAGAGGGTTTTTTGGTTTTTAATAGGACACTTTTCTGAGATGCCCTGCTGACTTTCTTTATCATTGGAGTTTAATCATTAGCTTTGAGATGCTGTGGGAGAAAGACTCCAATTTTTACTATTCCATTAGCACCTCATCAGTAGGTACACGTGTGTAGCTAAGCAAAGAGAGCGTAGGGCTGACTGGACAATTCATTTTCACATTCAGACCAGACTGATGTTACGTGGTGGCTACACGGCAGGACTGTGAAATGGGAACCAGTCTACTGCTGGCAGACTTAAACATACATTTTTAAAAAGATGGGATTCCTCTTCTCTTCAGTCTCCATACCTCATTTGGGCAGGAAGAGAGGAAAGAGGCAAATCTCTCCCATTAACACTAAATGAAGCTACCTGGAGATAGCACTTGCTACATCCTTCTACACATCTGAATTCATAACAGGTGCTTTGGGCAAGTTCAAGCCTTTCGCCAGAGTTGCCTTTTATTGACAGAAAAATGACGGTGCAAATTGTCTTGTTATAAGAAAACAATTTCTCAGCATACAACAGTAAATTTCAAGAGCCAGGTCCTTTGATATGGTGAAAACCCCACCAACTCCAGCTTGGCACATGCCCTGATACACACAATCAGAAATGAACATAATTTCTGGCTAAATAGATCAACCAATTCAGTACAGGTCTTATTTCCAATGTGTTTACGTAACGCTGTCATGGTCAGACTTGTCCCCAGATAATCCCTTCCTCCACAAATGAATAAGTGGCCTGTATCATTGTCTCTACCATACAATATGCTCTATTTATTCTGTCACAGAGGTTCACAGCATTTACCCCAAGGATTAACAAGAGTCCTGAGCAATAATGTGACTCATAGAAGAATAAATGGGCAGCCAAGTTACGAGGAAATCTTACCTTGAAATGTTGGCCGTTCACCAGGATCATCTTGCCAACATTTTTGCATCAGTTTGATCAAGTTATTACATGAATGAGGTCTGGATTTGGAAACAGCAGGTAGCTCTGGGCGGTGGCCTTTAACTACTTTTACCATAATATGTAAAATGTTGTTTTCCTCTGTAAAGCAAAAGCGCACAAATTAAGATCTCCCAGCAAAAGGAATGATTTCTCTTTTGTCTACGAGCTTTAACAGTGTTATTAGGCTGAATCTTGGTTTTCATGCATTTTTTCTAGATTTAGAGTGCTTTCTTTTATCGACAGGGATATTCTCCCACAATACATTTGTCAATGCAGCAACATCTACTTCCCATGTATCCATTAAAAACAATGGTCAGTGACTGTGCTCTTCTTCCACCCATAAAAGACACAGAACCAAAGGAAAAAACCAAAACTCAAACAGTCCTTTGCTACCTCTCTTTGGATTTCCATATCTGCTCTAAGAAAACTGAACCACAGCTTTTACTTAGACCAGGTACCTGAACTTTTCGTAAAGGTGAAGGAAGAACACAGATCGAGCAGCGCAATAATGTGGCTCTTGACTCTGAATTCAACCACTGGGCAAAATGGGATCTCTCACTTGGAGAAAAAATAATAGTAGACTGGAACCTGTTCAAACATGTTTGCTATACATAGGCGAGTCATACATACAGGAAAAGTCATAAAGCATAAATAGCTGTCTGTTGATCGGTACATTTACTGTGGGGTGGAACAAGGCTTATTCTCACAGACAGCTGCTTTTTTTTTTTTTTAAGAACAAATCTGTACCCACAATCTACAAATAAACTACAGGCCCTCTCTACAGAGAAGCTGTTTCTGAAAACAGCACAGTTGTCTGCCAGTTGGCTTTGCTCTGCGTTCTTCCTCGTTGGCCGCAAACATGTCAGAAGTCTGCGCAGGCCACATCTAATCTGAGTCTGTACATCAGACTCCAGCAGAAGCAGAAAGGTGCAGGCTAGGGCTCCCTGTGGCAGTACGGGTTCTGCTTCCACAATGTAGGACAACGGAAGACTTTACATTTGTGATCAGAGTTTGAGAGCTTAAAAGTGTCTGCCACACAAGACTGTAGGAGTTTGGAAGACATGCGTGTAATCTGGGGCTGGTGGGGCAGGCAGCGTGAAAGGAAAAAAAATTCCAACGCAACCCACAGTGCATCAAACTTACCTGCAAAAGGTTTCTTCTGTGTGAGAACTCCCCAAACCACAATGGAAAAGCTACAAATAAATAAAAAAATAATAATTCTAGAAAAGCTTTTGAAAAATAAGCAAGTCAAAAACCTGACAGAAGTCTAATTTATTTTCTTAAGCTCTCTTTCCTTGTCCTTCACTTTTGCATCTAATTCAGCTGATGAACACACACACACAGAGCAAGATGCAGCCAAGAACCATGATTTGAAAGTCTAGTTTTTGCAGGGAGGAACCTGAGGCAGTGAACATAAGGACTTGCTGGAGGCTGCTGAGTTCTTGGTAACATTTACCAACTACTCCACACCAACACTGACAAAATCAGAGAGCAGCAAAGCATTACTGTGGATTTTATTTAATACTTCTACCCTGCAAGACAACTTTAAAAAAATACATTCCATTTAGAATATGACATATCTTTTAATCTACAGCTATGATTTCCTTTTCCTAATAACCTTACCATGAAAGAAGAACCTAGTGATGAAATCCACTGAAGATAGCTAGGAATTTTGTCACAGACTTGAAAAGTAGGTCAGGTTGTACCTTTTGATGGGGAAATTAAAGGTGGGCAGAGTGCCTCCCATGCCAGTTGCTAATAAATAAGTATTACTTAGTGTGATAGCACTCAAGACTCAGGATCAGCTGCAAGTTTCTTAAAAGGCCTATAAAGGCTTTGCAAAAAGCAAAGCAAACATGACCCTTTGCAGGATGAGGCTCAAACTAGATTTAGGGGTTTCATGCTTAATTAGGTTTTATAACCAGTAAAAGAGGGCTCATTTTACAGTATTACTTAAAGTGCTTTTAAGTGTTTTCATAGTTAACTGACCTGTACACATCATGTTTGGTGTCAAAACACCTGTTTTTCTCTTTGATGCGCTCTGGGGGAAGGTATGCAATTGTGCCACACAAGCCGTCCATGCTGATGTCATGAGAATGGGACAAGCCATTGCACTTTGCAAGTCCAAAGTCAGAAATCTGCAAAAAACGGAGGAGGAGGAGGGGAAGAGAAGTGCGTGCTACCATTAGATTTTGGAGGCGTTAACTTTCTGTAAGGAATGATAGATGTAACAGGATGACCCAACAAAATACAGAAATACTGAGCTAAGAAAACATCTCTGAAAGCATGACGCTATGGTAGGCTTTTCTTTATGGTTAAGCAAAAAAAAAAAGTAAGCAGTTTTTTTGCAAGCAGCAGCATGTTAGCCCATTACATGGCAAACACAACAGTCAGACAATTTATTGTAATTTAAAACTAGTCAAATTTAGCTAGTGCAAACTACACTTTAATGTAATTATTGGTCCTGCCACCCCCTTTCCCTA